GCAACCCTAAGTTTTAAATTTGTCTAGCATTTTCATTACAATTTCTTTATAATCAGGATCCTTATAGTTACCCAGAAATTTACTGGCGACATCTTTGAAATCAACCCAAGCTTCTTTTTCCGTTTCTGTCATGTTAGTCTCGAAATCTTTATCTTTCATGATATTGTGGATATCTGGACCAACAAAGATTCCCCTTTCAACTTTGCTTGGATCAGTTATTTAAAACAATAGTCATCTTTTGGAACAGCCTTGACAAACTGCTTCATTACACCTAATTTTATATGTAGCAAAGGTAACAATACTTTTTTTGGATCAACTAAGGTGTTTCAAATGCCATTCTTGGTGCCTGTGTCAAGATTTTGTCTTTTCGCCCATTCTTTTTTAGACCCAATGTTGAGTCTTGTCACGGCTGTCCCACTCACAAACGAAATATGGGAACTTTGTCAATCCACCTTGTTGACCAAGAAACATGAAGATAACTTTCTAATCACCGCAAATGGTCCAACTGTGGTCNATATTATAATTTTGACCATTTTAGTAAGAACTATTAAGTTTTATTAGTTAAGAACTATTAAGTTTTTTAATTATAGTAGTGTTTTTAAATAATATTAAGCATTATAAGCACTTTTATCGAAGCTTCTTTGATTAATAAATATGGAAAAAAACCTGATTTATATTATAAAAATTCCTTTAAAAAATTGCCGAATGTGAAAACCCGAATGTGTCGAAAAAAAATATATGTTTATTCAGAGAAAATATGTTTTTTTTGTTTGATTCCGTAACTTAATTAATAGTTAGCACTAATTAATTAGCATAGTTGAGGTCACCCCAAGGAACAATTAAGATTGACACTCAGTTCGAAAAACTCCGATCATTATAACGAAAGTTACTCAGAATGATACCTTTTTTCTTGCCGACTGTACCTGGCAACTTTGATGCATAATTAATTTATGTTTTACGTTGCTATTTTTGTGTTAAATAGGAAATAAATGGTAAAAGAATTTAAATCGTTGTGAAAGAATATAGATGACGTCACTTAAGAGAATTGATACTTGACGGTTTTGGTTTATCCGAAATAGAATAGAAAGAACAGTTGCTAACGTTACCAGAAGCCACGTTTCAAGAACCAATAAGGATCGAGATATCGACACTACGTCAGTTGTAAGTATCCCATTCAGAGGAGTGATTTCTATTTTTTCTAGTTTCATATGTTAGGGTAGCTAATTTCCTATTTAATTTCCCATGTTAGAGGTTTTTTTTTTTTAAATCTTTTTCCCGAGGAGGAATAGCGGCAGGGGAGAAGGGTCCCCATGTTAGATCTCGCACGACACCCCTGTTTACGTTTTAATTCCTTCATTTATTACGTATTGCCCCTATTTGTATATAGCTTTTTGTATATAATTTACCTATTTTGTCTTACGCATTCTATTCGATCTTCTTCTCTACATAGTCTTACATTTACTTATCATTTTATATAGACTTCGATTTCATTTTCTCGTTTTATTATTATCTTTTCGGCTTTTTGTTTAGTGTATTTTGTTTATTTTATGACACCGACTACTCCATTGGAAGCCTACATTTTTACAACCTTTCTGGCATGGTTTTATTGAACTCTGAAATCAATTTCGACCTCACTGTGTCCCCTTCCCCTTTTTTCCTGTTCATTTTTATATCGAACACTCATTTAATTCCGTATAATTTTCTTCCGACTTCTATCTTTGACGAATCGGTAAGTGCCACCTTCGTTGGCAGAAGCTGAGATGGTAAAATCATCGTAAATCATGAAGGGTAGCACAAATAAAATAAAAAAATAATTTCGGGACATGCGTAATGCCAGCACCCAATAAGTATTTTGAAAGGTATGGGAGAAAACTTTGTATATTTTTAACATTTGCGTCTCTAAGAGTGCACCTACAAACTAAAATTATTTGAAGTCAACAAAAATTAATAAAATAAAATATTTAAAAACTGGCATTTAATTAGAAAATTTGTGATTGAAATAAATCTTTACAAACATGGGTTTTAAAATACTATTTATTATTAACTTCCCTTCTGGTAAGTTGAATTTCTAAAAAGTTTTTATTTCTAACTCTGAGCGGAGTCCTAAATACGTTGAATTCCGTTAATTTAAAGCAATTTGAACAAAGCAATTAACAGACAATCTTGAAAATTATTTAAGCGAATCGAAAAATTCTTACAGACATTTATAAAATTTGCTTACCATAGAATGCAAAAAGCAATTTTCAATAAGTGCTTATAATCTTTAATATAATAATTAATAATGGTAAAAAAAACTTTTAACTGAAAGGAATACAAGTTTTAGCATTATTTTAAATCTTTTACATGGCAAATTTCAAAATTTGAATGTAATCGGTTAAATAGTTCCTGATAAATCCAGTTTCAAATGTATGACTAAAGTTCCTTCGAAAAATAAAAATGTTTATACAGATTAAATACGTTTTTGTGTCTGACTTTTCTGATATTTTCTGATATTACTCTGACATTTGAGGTCATCCACTCAAACCATTTAATTTCATTTTCAGTGCGTGAAAATCCGATCACTCAATTAAAAGCTATTCAGGTTCTTCTGAATCTTTTTCTTTTTTTGTGCACTGTACATACTACATTTCGCTACCACAGAACAGTTCGCAGTATATTTAAAAGAAAAAGTTAAAAAATTAATACTGTTTTGGTCAGAATAGTAGTAATTATGCTTACTTAAAATAAAAAGCAAAATGAAAATAAATTCTTTACATTGATATTTTGAAAAGAAAAATAATCTAACTAATACGGTTCAGAAAAATAGCAAAAATTACAATAAGCCGCTGACTTTGCTCTGACACATGACAAAATCTAGTTTTAAGTATTTTATATCTTCCAACTTATCTTCAGATTTCGGCCATCCTGAAAAATTTATTTATGCAAATTAGACAAAACTGTCAAAATTCGTGGTCCGTTAACTGGCAGGTGAATAAAAGTGAATTCGGATTCAACTTCCAAGCAAATATTTAGAAAAAACTTTGAAAAACAAATAAAGACTAAACATAACAGTTATTATTTTGTAATTTTCTTGATTAATGCTCAAACCTTGCGAGATAATAAAATATAATTCCTCGGGAAATAATGTATATTGTATATCCACCTTATTTATATTATTATATTCATACTATATTTTTATAAGTATTCTATATTTTTGAACGTAATTTTTTTATTCGGATTTTCTAAATTATGGAAGAAAAATTTTTTAATTATTGATAGGCAGATAAGTTTTAACAATGCTAAGCTTTAAAAATGCAATTTCAAACTATGTAGTTTGCAATTATAAAAAAAAGAATTGAACGAAATTTTTCAAATTACTCTTAAGGAGTGAAATATTAAAAAATACAATTTTTTTAAATTTCTTTTTTAGTCAAAAATAAAATTTTAAAAAAACTCGAAATTTTAAATTTATATTTTTATAAATTTCGCTTTTGAAATTTCTTTTTTTCAAATTCAAACTTCAAATAACTTTTTTTTTCAAATTTTGAATTTCGTCGTCTAATTTTATATAGTTTAAAATAAAATAAATGTTTGTACCTTATTATGCAAAAACTTATCGACTATGATGAAATTAAATAATGAAAAATAATTAATAATTTTATACAATTATTTTTACATGAAATAACATTTGAATCAACAAGTTCCATAATTGTTTCCAAAAAATTTTTGATTTGTTTCATGTTCGTTTTTTTGCAAACCTTATTTTAAGCTTCTTAATTACTTAATGGAATATGTTACTTTAAGAAGTAAAATTTTCCAGCCGTTGTTTGTTGTCCGTCAGCAAATGATGTAACATAAAATTAACAAAAGATTCGCATAGTTGCGAAATAAATGGTCCTGAAGTAAAACAAATTTAAACGTTGTCTTCGGTAAATTTTTAATTAATTCAGTCAAATTACACAAATAAATATCCTAACTAATTAACAAATAAATATCATATGTTATTCAAGAATTGAAATTTTTATTTTTTAGAAAACTAATAAAATTGGCATCTTTTATTTCTTTGAATTTAATGACAATGTTGATAGGCTTTTGAAGCTTATTTAGTCTTAACACTCCAATTTTGTAAGATTTAAATTTCATAAATTTTTATATTGCATGTAAGGAAAATGACTATGAATTAAGGAAAATTAATAATAATATAATAATAATAAAGATATTAAGTTAAGATTAAGAACCCATTTTAAATTTTAAGCTATATTTTAAAATTAATTTTAATAAAGCTATATTGTTTATGTTTCAGATGGCTTGATTCTTTCTTACACAGATAAAATGTAAATGGGTAGTAAATATTATATATTTGTTTGTAATGTATTGAATTTTGTAATTTAATTTTAAGGGGTCACATCAAACATTGACAAATATTAATCAAATATTAACAAAATATCGAAAAATAATTTATTACTTATATTAAAGTTTCAAATAATACCAAACACACTGAACAAAATTATGTAGTAAAATTATTAATTGTAATACGGGACAATCAAATAACCAAACTAAAAGTTATTAACGTGTTGTGTTTATAAGTTCGCTCACAGTTCGTTGGATTATTATTAATACATATAATATTTTTGACTTCATACAATTTATCGTACTTGTAGTTTTCAGGTTTCATAGTGAATAAATATCAGTAACTTGATGAGGTCATGTCTCATTGTCAAAAATAAAATGCGGATTATCTAAATAAATGTTTAATTTTAAGTTCATTGAGAAACCTAGTACGAAAGCTTACTTACTGAACGAAGAAACATCTTTTTTTAAATGCTACAATCACCTCGTAGTGACAGTTTCTCTGTGAATTTTTTTTAACAGCAGCTGATTTTCTATTATAGCAAATATATGGTAATTGTTTCTTTAACAACGCAACTATGTTGAATATATTTTTATTGAAGTAATTTTAATTTAATGAGATTTTTAAAACATATTTTTTCAGTAATAATTTCTAACAAGAATATTTCTTATTAAATTTGTGAAAATTTTATTTGAACAAAATAACATTTTTAAATGAGCATTTATTTGAATATACACATTTTTCTGGATACCCATGGGGGTAGGACAGTGTTTCTTCGTCACAAGTGGCCTCTCTCCTCGCAATTTAAATTCTAGTTTCATATTTTTATTTGTATTTTCTCGATATTTTTTTCTGCTTTAAACAAACTTTTGACGATATAGTGTTATTGGACAGCACATTTAAAAAAAAGTAGAAAATATCGGGGTCGCTTTATTAGTTATAAGAATAGGAGAATTAGTACTTCATAATTTTAAAAACTTTCATTAATTGCCTCTCAAACATTAAAATGATGTGATTCGCGGTTATGAGTAAATAATTTAACTCCACACGTTTCTCAGCTTTTTGATTTTTGAAATCAAATCTCATTGCAGTTTAAATTTTTAAAAAAGCGATTTAGATGACGCTAAAAATTTCCTCAAACATCAATTGCATGAAAATAACGATACTTATCAAAAATCTAATAACTATTAACTGTTTACTGCTTAAATTTCTATCAAAAATTGTTGATTTCAAAATTTTATTGGCATAATTTTGTGAGGAAATAATTATACTTAACTAGCTTATTGCCATTGCGCATTAGTATTATTGTCTCTTCAGCTACTTGAATCAAGTTATTTTAATTACTGCAAATGCTAAGGTGTTGATAAAGTTTTGTGTTAAATAGGAAGTTTCAAAAATATTATAAATCATAAACTGTAAAATTCAGTTTTAACAGTAGCAAAATACATAGTGCTTGTTCTCAACATTTTTTTAAAGTTATACTAATGAGATTACTTTTCACTGTCTGGAAGATAAAACTATGCTATCTTCCTGCTCGAATTCATTTTTAATTTCTTTACTTTCATTTAAAAATTTCTTCTTCATCCAAAATCTAGTCACTGGACTAAGGCATACTGAATTCTCAGGAATTACATTGTTTTTCCAACCTGCAAAATAAATATTTAACATAAAATTCAAATAAATGTAATACGAATGCGCTCAATAATAACAATGTAGCATAAATGAATGCTAAGTATACAGTATGACCTATGTAAATAAACCAGAATATTTATGTGTGAGTGCAAATTCGCAATTTCAAAGCAATCCACGCCAAATTTGATGCAAATACGACGGATCTGCAGTCTGTAAAATAAACAAGATAAAAATAAAGGTTTTGTATTAGGTGTTATGAATGCGTAGTATGGTGATATAAAAGAACTTATTAGAGAATTTCAAATCACCAGCATTGAAACTGGTTTGTTTATTGTGCTCGCGCGCGCGCGTGTGCGCGTGCGCGCGCGTGTGCGTGCGTGCGTGCGTGCGTGCGTGCGTGCGCGAGTGCGCGTGTGCGCGTGTGCGCGTGCGTGCGTGCGTGTGCGTGTGCGTGCGTGTGTGTGTGTGTGTGTGTGTGTGTGTGTGTGTGTGTGTGTGTGTGTGTGTGTGTGTGTGTGTGTGTGTGTGTGTGTGTGTGTGTGTGTGTGTGTGTGTGTGTGTGTGTGTGTGTGTGTGTGTGTGTGTGTGTGTGTGTGTGTGTGTGTGTGTGTGTGTGTGTGTGTGTGTGTGTGTGTGTNATTCGATATTTTAATACTTACTGACGATAGATCAGAAGAAACATCAGTGTTTGGAGTATCGGACTAATATATACCGGGCAATGGCACTTAACCTTAAAAAAACATCAGTGTAGGGTATACCGAGCAAATGTATACCGGGCAAATGTGAATGTATGGCCTGATACTCCAAATACTGAAGTTTCTTCTGATCTATCGTCAGTAAGTATTAAAATATCGAATAAATGTAATTATATCCACGAACAAATTCATATCAAATCCAATGTAATAAATATTTCGGACATTCGCCAAAGCGACTATGTGATTGTTGACATTCACCGGTGAAAGTCAGAAATAAGGGTATTTAGCAAATATTTCGGACATACACCAAGCGACTACGTGAATGTTGACATTCACCGGTGAATGTCGACATTTTCGAGACTTCGGTCAATCACCGTAACATATATATACATACATATATATTATGGTGCTAGTGTTGTCACGCGAAGAAATTTTGAAAAAAAAATTATTATGGAAAAACTGATTAACTTTGTAATTCCGTTCATAAACCGGATATAACCAAATGGCAGGAAATCGTCAAAATTATTGTTAAAAATATACTAAACATGTAAAAAAAATTTTACTAGCATCTCATACTTTATTTAAAAATAGTCAATAAATATGACAATGTTTACAATATGCTGTATACAATGCTTAAATGTTTGAACAATTGTTGCTATGTGTTTTTCGTCGGCATATTTATCTTATATACGTTTCTAAATACGCATCAATGGTGAGGCAAAAAGCCTGTGGAAATTTTGTGCAACATGTACTCAACTATCACAATCGCCAATGAGGCAACAGTTCAAGTGGCAATATAAATAATTCGATATCGGGGATTTTTTGAAAGTAATGACTTTTCTTAGTCAATCAATTCTTAACAGATATTACGCGATATTTAATTCATAGTAATAATTAAATCCCTCAAAAACTTACCGGAACATGTTAAAGGACAAAAATTCTGATATAACGTAATTTTAACAAAAATAATTACCGTAAATTCATTATTTCAATAATTAAATACTACTGTAAAATTGCGGTCCAATATTTTACGGTAATTCCTCTTCCTTTGATAAGACGAATTTTTAAAAACGTATTTTGCTGAAACTGAAAACATAAAGCTGCCGGGAAAGGGAAAAAAATGAAAATAAAAAATTTGAACTATTTTATCTTAATTAATTGCGCCTATAGATATGTCTTTCAATTTTGAATATGATTTTCGTAATGTTGATCTATCTATTTGATCATTTGCTTTTTTTTCACCCTTTACGAATAATGGGTATCCAGCTAGTTTATTTATAAAAATAATACTTTTAAATTATAGCACTAATATTTATCATGAAAAATTAAAATAAGTATGCTTTTACTTTACCTGTCACTACGATGGCGAAGCAAATAAGAATTTGAGTCAAAACATAACCAATGAAGCAAATCCACATATAAGATATCTTGTACAAAATAAAAGTGTCCCTAAAAAGTGAAAAAAAATATTAATTGCAAAAATAAGTAAAGATTTTAAAAATTATAATATACATTAGAGTTTCTTACTATACTTCATTCAGAATATTGTTATTATGTCATAATAAACATATATTGTATAGAATTTTTGAAATCTATATAGATGTAGATCCTACTTCAAAGATTGATGTTCTTAAACCTGTGTGTCTCCCTATTAATTTACTTATATTATTATTATTATTCTGTGAATTTCAACAGCAGAGTTGGACATGTTACTAATGCTCTATTCTTTACAGCTATATTTTAGTATATAGCTGTTATTCAGTTATATACAAAACTCTATTTTAGTGTATAGCTGTTATTTAGTTATATACAAAACTATATTTTAGTTTTATAGTTTATTAAATATACTTGATAAAAATTTCGTTTCCCTGAGCAGTTTTTTTTTGTGTGTGTGTGCTTGTTTGTTTGTTATTTTTGTTCATGAAAAATAGATTTTGCAGTTTTATTCCGGGGGAAAAAATTTTAAAAATGGAAGAATCATTTCCATCATACTCATTTTAGAAAGAAACTTTCGTAAAGAAATTGAAAACACGAATTTTGAAGCTAAAATCAAAGAAAAAATTGCTAAAGATTGCGGCAACCTTGATATGATGACTAATTTAACCATATTACCATAAAAATATATTCAAGGATAAATAATTCAAATATTTATTTACACGATACTTCGTTCATCCTGAATGGCAACATGGTATAATTTAGCACCTTGAGATTGTATCTACTTTGAAATATTATGATTCAAAGTATCGATATAGTGGTACAGTGAGTAAAATTAAAAAATGAAACATCCTGAACAACTTTTGATCAAATGATCAAAATTTGATTTTAAGTGGTAGGACTCAATTTTAATAGTTCAAGAGCCAAACCTCAAATAAGCTAATTAATTAGTGCAGACAATATCTTAAGTTAAGGAATCAGATAAAACTTTCTCTAAATAAACATGCTTTTTTTCGACGAATACGGATTTTTTGACATTCGAAATATGAGGAGGAGATAGCCGCATTCTGGAAAATATGGTCCCAATAGTTTGGTCAGGACAGCAGTCGTAAGTATGGACAACTTAATTTTTGCGTATTTCGTCTTATCTCGAAAACGTTTTTAAGCAATTCAAAAAAATTTTATACACAATTACAAAATACACTTTTCCAAAGAATATTCTAGCACTAAAAATATATTTTTAACTCATATTATTAAAACAATTATTTGTGTTAATATTAACGTATTATTAAAATTTCGTTTTCTTTAAAAACAGCATTAGTACTATATAAACATTTGAACGCGAAAACAAGTCTTTCAAATAAATTCGAAACAACTAGGCTATTTTGATTGATTTATACACTAGGAAGAATGGCCCTAAAAACCTTACACGTAATCTAAACATTAAAAAAATTTCTATAAACTACAACAAAAATCAAAGACTATGTTGATATAAATAAAATTAAATGTACTTACTTTTTAGCTGCATATAAATAAGTATCTTAAATTAACATGATTAATACACGAATACTAAATCTCAATAGCATTTCACCCAAAAAAAATTTATTTTTTTGAAATCTTCGTGCTGGCACAAAAAGCTCTTGCTCGTCTTTTACTGATTTCTTTCAGCAGTTATAAACAGCGACATGTTGAGCTAACATCTTCAGCAACATGGTTATAGCTTTATGATATTAATCAAGTCCACAAAACACAAAGATACGCAGAACAGAAGAAAAAAACATGACCAAGAGCAGTTGTTTTATAACCTGCGTACGGTGCGATACGTAAAATTTCCGGATTGTTTTAAATCGTTAAAGAGTAAACTACTTCGCTTTTATTGATGATTATTGTGTCACACATTTTTTTAAAACCCAAGTAATCATTCATTTTGTTACGATCATTGTACTAACGAAATTTATATAATAATTAAACACTTGATTAACAAAAAAAATCTCTTTTTTTATCATAAATGTCAACTAAATCAAAAATAATACTGAATGAGAAACAATCAGTGGTGAGCGGAACCTCCTGGTTCATAAATGGTTCTTCAATTTTATAAATAATTTGTCAATATTTTTTCTATTGCTTATGCAATTTGGAAAGGTACAAATTATGATAAAATTAATTTATGTTTAAAGACAGAAATTTAGTAATACTTACGTCGTAAGTTTAGGAGTTTGCAAGAGGGTGATAGTACCGTTCATTTCAGTGTTTGTAACATTTACTAAAGGACACATGTCAGTGGTGAGAGGTAAAGATGGTTCAAGATACTTTGAATGTATGGCTCCGAAGCCCAACCATGTCATCAGTGAATATCCTACGACTAGGGCAACTGATACACTCTAAAATTAATTTTTTATAATGGTAAGTTTCTTTTCATGTATATTTATTTTAAAAAATTATAATAAATAAAGTCTCATTTGGAAGGCAGATTTCTGTTGATAGAGACATTTGGAATATAAAATCACTCGCAAAAAACTCAAAATTGACGACAAAAAGTGTACGTGTCCAGAACCAAGGCTAAAATTTCCTTTCTTGAAGGAAACGCTTTTCTGCAAGGATTTCCTCACCCAAAAGTTCTTTGCGTAGCTACCATTGAGAAAATTCAAATCTCTGCGAGTAAAAAGTTAATGAATTTTTTCGAAATCCTCTCAGTTACCTAGCAACGAAAGAAAATTAGAAAAAATTATTTATCTCTCTGAGATTCGTCAGTTAGTGCCGAGGCTGAAGACCAGGTAAAAAAGATAAAGAGCTCGAATTTACTTCGTTTCCAAATTATTTTTATTAATTTATTAATTGCTTTTAAAAATTTTGCGTAGGATATTTTTACGTTGCTAAATTTTATCAGCAATTATTGTAGTTAGATGTGCTCAATTTTATAAACAAAAACAATATTAAACTTTTCTAGCATACGGCGTTGTACTTTATGTCTGCTTTCCTCAGAAACTTAACTAAAGTAAACGTGTACGAACTGTTCAACCTTTTTACAGTTTTCTTCAGCTGATATGCTCGAAACAAATAAATATACAGAAACATCTTCAAAGCAGCGTATTAACTTTGAATCAGGGCTAAGCTCATATAGCCAAATATTTTAGGTAAAAGCGTGACGCGTGTTGATTCAAACTGATGTGTTGAAACACAAGAAAGATTTATAAAAATGAAATTTTCATACAATCTTGACAAAAGTTACTTTACTGCGATATTTATTCAAAATTTGAGCATTTCTACAGAGATCTATATTTTAATTTTTTTATTGACATTTCTGTAAAATGATGAGAAGAAATAATAATTTTTCACTCCTGATTTTTAGTACTGTTTAAGTTTACAAATATTCTAGAAATTTGATCATTTTAATTTGATATATAAACCAAATATTTTTTCCAAAAACAAATTGTAATAAGTAAAAACTTAATTGAAACGTCAATTAGTTAAGCAGATTTTAACCATCACTACCAAAACGTGTTTATAATTTCAAAAAAAAAATATTTCGTTGCCACAAGCATTTCTTATCATGACTGCGTGGGCATGGTAATTTAATTTGAAAAAAATTTTAAAAAATTATTGAATTAACATTTTTTACAGATAGAGACATTTATCAATAATGTTTAACATTCTCTCACACTCAGGTAAGCACTTTTTGAAATGATTGCACATCTTCTTAATAACTTTGTTTATGTAATTATGTTACTTCTGAGTACGTAAACGAGATGGTATGTGAACCATTGTTGATAAGAGCCTCTTTCTTTTACCTTATCATCTCCTTTTCTTGTTAAAACTCCTGTCAAAAATACAGCTAAAACGGGACCTTCCAACGAAGATATAAAAACATTCATAAGTTGAACAAGACTTCTTACTTCTAAAAAACAAAAACTCAGTCCTACACTTGCTCCCCCATACACAACAGCTGTAAAAGGTAAATTTAAAGCATTAATTTTAGTAACTGCTTTTTGTAGCAATATCCTATAGAAATACATAATCGTGAACAGAAAGTTTTTAAAATCAAAACTATTAATTTAGAATGAAATGATACGAATGGTGGTGGTATTAGTTTTAACATAAGAAAACCATTGATAAATCTTATAATGGAATATATTTCAAACTAAATATCCGTTAATTCTGTGATTTAAAATGTTAAAAAAATACAGCTATTTGTCAGTGCATAGTAAAACAAAATTCCATGCGAAATTAAGTGCAAAGGCTGGCAGCAGATATCTGTAAAAAAATATTTAGACCTTAATTTCAAAGTCCATAATAAAAAGAGTTGAGAAAAAATTAAGTAAGTTTTGATTTTAAGAAAATTAATACTTTTCTTCTGTCGCATTTAATTACATATATCTTCTTCTCTAGCTTTCCAACTAAAAAAAAAGCAAAGGCAATCCCAGTCAGCTTCTGGCATTGTTGTTTATCCAAGGTAGTTGACACTCAACATGCCACGATTACATTGCACGCGATTTTTGCATTTTCTAGCCACCTGTGACTCAACGACCTCCTTTCCTAGTACCATAGGGTTTGCCAAAAACCAATATCCTTTCAGGATTGCAGGTTTTCTAATCTTTGCAAATGTTTAAACCATCTTATACAATCAGGACAAGATTCGGTTCCTAAATTTAATATAGAGATCACTGTTGTAAAATACTCTCCATATGTTATTTTCATTAACAGGGCCATAACTTTCCTCAATCTTTTTTCAAAGATCAGTAATTTATCTGCTGTTGCATTAGTAAATGTCCAACTATCGCAGCCATAGAGGGCTAGTGGTTAAACTAGAGTATTATTAACTAGAGTATCACCACAATTTCAGTGCATTATTATTTATAGCCCTTAAAAACTACTATTTGCTATCAGAAGATTATTGATTTCTGCGGTTATGTTATTATATTTATTAATTGATGCTCCATGGTTTCCAAATTCTGCAACTGTATTAAATCTGTACTAATTTATTTTACGAAATTAAAAGTTGGTCTTTTAGTGCATCTTTCGTGTCGAACTAAAAATAACGAATTTCAGTGTGTTTTTTTAAATTCATCATTAGACGTAATGATTATTTACTATTTTTCCTCAAAGTTATTCCTTTTTAAAAGTTAAAAATATTCACTATTATGTAAACACATGTTAAGTTTCTGTACACTCTTTTAAAATAGAAAATTCCAGTAGACCAAGTTTTCCATACTCTTAGACCAACATAGGGACATGAGGATTACTGATCGGACATCAATCCAAATTTAGGCTTAGGAAGTTGTATCTATTGCTATCATCTTTATAATCTATTATATATGTAATATATATTGTATAATTGCAAATATTAATAGGTGTCATTTTTTTAAAGTTTTTATACACAATCAAAATATAATGCGGGTGAATGACTGCCAGAAATGATATAAGGCTAAATTTTTAGCTTCAAAACTAAGATAAGATATCCAAGTTAATCTGAATTTTAATGTACTCTATGAATCCAACAAAATGGTAGGAATAAACTGGGTTAATGGGTTTAAAAATTTCAGAATTTTACCTAAAATTATTGAAGAATTTTCTAAATAAGGGGAGTGGTAATTCTAATGCATACAAATATCAAATATATATATATATATATATATATATATGATTTC